CTACCAGAGCATCTCTGTGGAGGACCCAGCCTCCAGTTGCCTCAGGGCATGGTCCGGGACTGCCTCCTTTTTTCCTCCTGTGGTTTTTTTGACCCCTGGATATCCAGGGGTCTAATATTGTCCCTGCACTGCAAATTTGCAGCATGGGGAATGTTTTATCATTCTGCACATGCCTCTTGCAGTCTCAAAGGGCTTTGAGATGCTGCAAGACGCACATGTGCTCTCACGTGGACATGCCCAATGGGTTCAAAGACATTCTTCTAAGTGAAAAACAAGTGTTAGCCACTAAAATGTTACATCTGTGCTTGCAGTCTTCTTCATTAGCTCCATTGTTAACTCAAAATCTTTGGTAAACAGAAGTACAGTTAGATAACCAGACTAGTTAGTTTCACAACTCTTATCCTGAAATCAGTGGATAGCAATTAAACTGTCAGTAATCATGCCAAGTTCAAGATGGCACAGATAAGAAATAAAAGTTACAGGCAAGAGCATAAATGATTACAGGTATTATTCAGAGAGGAAGACTCAGACTAGATCTGATGAGGTTTCCAAAGACATGGAATGAATTACAGTATATGTAGCTCTGAGAGAAGCTTAAGAAAGTAAAAGCTGTTTGGTGGGAAGGCCAATTTTCCCTTGGAGTTCCAAAGGCAAGAGAAGAAAAGTATTACTTGCAGGACAAAAGGAGATTCTCAGATCAAACCAGATGAACTTGAAAAGACAATTTTAAGTTAAACAGTTTTCTTAATTTTCCTGAAATTCTGATTTAGAAAGCATAAATTTAGAATATCATCCCTTCACTCCTGCTAAACGATTTTACTATGAAGCACATGCTTCTTTATAGGCACAAAACAGGCTGAAATAACTGAGACAACAGGACCATTAGAAAGATAAAAATATTTCTGACACTGCCCAGACCATCAATGCACTGTTTCCATAGTTTATAACCGATACAAACAAGACACATTGACCTAAACATATTCTAACATTGATGTTAGCATCTTTAAGATCACGATTGTTTTTTTCCCCTGATAATTATGTTATTACTTTACATGCCGTCTACCTCCCCTGTAATCCTGGTGATTTATAACCATTTGGGTTACATCTAGCTTTATTATGGCACTACATGTGGTTAAAAGCTCAAGAAGATTCATTTAGGAATACTGCATTCCATTTTTTTTTATTATTAACTGTATAAAACAAGTAAAGCAATTCAAGTCTTCTTATACATACACTTATTAGTAGCATTCTACAAGTGTTAACACATAAATTCCTAAACACAAGAATTACTAAACAAAAAGAACCAGTTATATCAACTACAAACATACTATAATCAGCTTGGCACAAAACACTATTACTATCTGCCTCAACATATTCCCCTTCCAACCCACACAAAGCAACTCGAGTTGTACAAAATAACGAAGGTACCGAAAACAAAACTTAAGAATAAACTACTGTAACAATGCTAGGTTCTTACCCTACGCATGGCTTCCTCCTCCTCTTGACGCTTTTCATAATGTGCAAAGTCATCAAAGATTGAGGTGGTATGCTTGAAAGTAGCAATTATTTTAAGCACTTGCTTAGCTTTTTCTAGGGGTACCTCTTGAGTGTCCCTCGAATTGGTAACTGGTTTGTTGTCATTGTTTTCCAAACGAATGTGCCGCAGCTGGTTATTAGGAACGTCTTTGACAAAGATCCACTTAACATCAAACTTCCCCTTCCACTTATCCTGAGACCAGACTCCAGCATATGCATTGTAGTCCACAACAGACTTCATCTCAGCCACTCCACAAAAATGTCCACTACCATTCACACTGAAGAGTAAATAGAGTGGACCTTTTCCATTCAGGGAACGGTAAGCAGCATCCAAACGTTTATTACCATGTTCAGTACTACACCAGATAGAGTACTTAATGGAGCGGTGTATATCATCCTCTGAATAGCTTTTGATTATAAACACACGTCCATTCTTCAGATTCCAATCGAAGTCTTTGGGATTATAGTTGTTTATGGCCTTTAGTTTCTCCAGCACTGGATGCACCTCTACACCAGAAGGTGAAGAGCTGACAGGTACAACACCTAAACCAAAGTTCTCACTGCCAGCTCCATTGTTCTGGCTGAAGCCCACACCCCTATTACGAGGAGCCACCCAGCGGTTCTGCAGCTGTTGCTGCTGCAACTGATGAGGCTGGGCCTGCTGCTGAGGTCCTTGTTGCTGCTGTGGTTGCTGTGGCTGAGGCTGCTGTTGAGGCAGTTGGCTTTGCACCAATGGTGGTGGTTGAATTAATGGCTGAGGCTGCTGGATAATAGTCTGAGGAGGCAGTACTGGTTGGGTAGGGGGTGCTTTCACCACTGACCCCTTGTCATCCCAAGTTCCAATATTCATGTTGTGTTTTATAGGTGGGGGTGGCACAGCAGGGCCTCCAATTCCCACATTACCTTTAGGCTTGAGTTTCGGCTGAGGTTTAGCAGGCTTCCTAGCAATGGCAGCCCATGAGGTTGGTTTAGGTGCTGAACTGCTAACTGGGGGCACGCTATTTGCTGCAATGCTGGTCATACCTGTACTGCTCAGAGCTGAACCTACAGTTTTTGTCACAGCAGCTGTCATATCCCCACCAATTTTCAGTCCAGTCATGCCTTGCTCAATGCTGTTAATCCCAGGCACCTTGCTCAAAGTATCATTGCCAAATCCAGCCTGTCCATCTGCTATGGCTCTACCAAGAGAGCTGGGAGGGTAGCCATAGCTGCTGCTATAAGCAGAGCTTTGTGTTGATTGTCCCTGAGATCCACTTGTCCCCCATGTAGAGAAATCTGCATTCCCCGGAAAAAAATTAAATCCATGCTGACCAAGGAATGGAGGGGTATTTCCTAATGCCCCAGGTTGACTAAACACACCATCAGGTATGTAATGGTGTTCACCATTGCTCATCTGTCCATAGGTTGTCAAATACGGCATTGGAGGGTCTCCTGCAGTGGACCATGCTGCTTCACCTAGAGAGTATGGAAATCCAATGGATGGAGCATAATAACTAGGCATGTATGGGTCTGACATTGGTGGATAGCTGTTACTCTGCAAGAAAATAAAGCAAAAAATCAGTGCTATGCACATAATTCAAGAAAGCATGACAGACAGAACACCATAAGAAATGCCAACATTCCATTTCTAATGTTCAATTATTTTTCCTGCATAAATGTCAAACTATTTTTTATTCAGAACTGATAGCTTTATAAATACCAGAAGCAACATTTTTCAAAACTGAATGGAGTACACTCTTGTCACCAGCAAAAAGTTAAATCTGTAATGGAATATGTAATAAAGTAAAGGTACTAGTTGTCATCCTAAAGACGGCAAGACAGGAGGAGAATAACCTGTCAAAGTGGAGCAATAAAGAACACTAGAAGTGTTCAAAAAGCTAGATTTAAGATACTCAATTATCAGGAAGAGTCTATTCAATTGACATGAACAAGATGCTCAGGAAAGAAACACAAGTGATGACACGTAAAACATAGTTATCCTTGAATTTGCAAAACCCAACTGTTCTTTCTTCAGATACAAAGCCATTCAACAGGCTTCTTTATAACTTAATAGAGAAACATGAAATCATTTAGCCTTTCCTAAAAAACTGATACAAAAAAGCTCAAACCATTCAGTTTTACTGACTAAAGCTTTAAGTAATACATCAAGCAAGCAGTTAAATAGGGCTAGGTGTGAATTTAGTTATAATTCCATATATTTGGCATTCTGAGACATAAGTATGTATTACTGTTCTTAAAATTATTTTTAAGAGAGAAAAAAGAAACGTATATGCTATTTATGAAAAGTCATTTTTCATACCCATAGAATTAGAACTGATATAGAATAGCTTTGGAGAGAAATGCTGGAATATTCATAAGCTAAGCACCCACATTAAATATTGATTTACATTTAAAATTGTCAGGCACATACACAGAAGTGGCCTGAAGTTAGTATGAACAGCTGCTGCTTGCACCAACTTCTCCTAAATAGCAAAGCACACAAATAACAAATATAGTTATGTTTAAGGGCTACGTTCTCACAGTATTTTGTATTTTAGCATTCAAGTACTAATATTATCTATGCAAGGATCTCTAATATAGTTTGACATGTTTTCCCAGATGTAAAGTGACTGAACATTGTTTTACAAGATAGTGAGATGAATACAGGGTCTGTAGCAAAGACGGCAATCTGTCAAAGTTACTTAAACAGCCCGCATATCACCCTATATTTTAACACTTTCCCACCCTTAAGCCAAAAAACTTCATTCAAAACATGTGCCACAGACAATGGTAAAACTACTAAATGAAGGCATTTTAAAAATGAAACCTATAAATATTGCCAATCCATAAATGCTGCTTCATGATTTGCAAGCATGACTGCAATTTTTTGGTATTCTTATTAGGAATAGAAATGCTAGTAAGAAATAAGATTTCAGTGTTTTGATGGAGGGTACAAAAGCATTTGCCTGTCTTGTACAGAGATAGTAGAAATAAACCTATGTCTCCAACTACTTAAGGGTGGATCTCAAACATCATTCAATGGTCTAGTGAAACATCTGCTTGCTCCCAAGGCTTCTGAAATAGGAGGGCAAATTATTCAGCTCTTTTGGAAGATGCAGCACATACTTACTTGAAATATGTGATGTTGCTTTGAAAAAAAAATGCCATATGCCATCTTCCTTCAGCAGAATTCAGTTTAGTGTTGTGACATTAAAGGAGATAGGAAGGCAGGGAAAAATGCCAAAGGCCATTTATGTTATCTCCACTTCCTCCTCCTCCTAAAGAATCCTGCAACTTTTAAATGTTCCTTATTAAATTAGATGTATAAAAAATGTAAAATGAATCTGCATTCCTGAAGCGCACAGAATTCAAAAAAACTCTTCATTCACTTATTGTCATAAAAGTTACACCCAAGAAGGTGGTGACATTAAACTGCAATTCATTAGGTCATCAATCGTGTATAGTAGTTTCATCAACTTCAGTGAAAATCAAGTCTCCACAGCTAATATTACTCTAAGCCAAGGAACTGCTTTTTGGGGAGGGAGCCGGGGGACAATAAACTGTTTTTCAGGGTATGGTAAACAATACTTTTAAGACTGAAAAAGCTGGAAAAGTTGTTTAAAAGTTAAAGGATACTAAAATATACAAATATATTAACATTGGAAAATTTTAACTTAATTTCCATCTTTTTACTCGATGTTTTCAACAGTAACTCTTAAAAATTTAGTTTTTAATGACAGTATATGCCAGGGGCAGGCAATTATTTCGGGTAGAGGGCCACTTTATTGAGTTTTGGCAAGCCATCAAGGGCCACATGACAGGCAGCCAGGGGCAGATAAATATTAATTTTTTTAATTTGGGGGGTACCCCGTGGGCCAGATAGAATGGCCTGGCCCTCAGGCCGCATTTTGCCCACCCCTGGTATATGCCAATCATTAAATTATATATCTACACTCCATGCAATCAGTTGCATACATATTATCCAAGGTGAAGGAAACTTAGTTGGACCAACTACAAATATATTTCATATCACTTACCTGATTTGTCTGGCTACTTAGATATGGCTCAAAATCATCATCATTTACTGCATCCTTTTGATGAATCGAACCGTTTTGTACTGAAACTAAAAGTAAGTCTGTATTAGGAACGCTCTTTAGAAGGGCTTTATTGTAACTTTAAATTAAGTCCAACTCAATTCCACATATTTTGCTATCTGTACTGTCAATTGCCTGTATTCTTGTTTTGGTGAAATGTGGAACATCTTGTTATACAATTAATTATTGAATTTATTTTAGAGCATTTGAAAACCAGTGCTTCTCTATCTAAGAATAGAAACAAAATAAGGTAGCAAATTCTAATATGCACTTACAACCAGTAGACACAAAGTGACTGCAATAAACTTCTTGGAAAATGTCATTTAAAGTGTCGTTTTAATAAATACATAAAATACACTTTACAAGTAACTAAAATACAGGTTCCCAAATGTTTAAATCTTAATGACATTTTATCAAGGTCACCTGCTTAGGTGAAAAACATTGACAAAAAGTATTCTAATTAAGATACCACAGTTAGAATGTTTTCTATTAACAGAAAAGGAAAACTAATGTTTTATACACTATAGAAGTCTGATGGCACAGAATTCTTTATCCAGAAGAACGTATCTGCACGCACACTTATTTGGCATAATTTCACAGTGCAGTAGTGTGTCATAGCAAATCATTTTTCCTGCAGTCACAAGAAAAAATACAAATATATTCAGTATTGTTGTCTACAGAAGACCTATACAATGCAGAACAAAAACTCTCAAGTCACAATTCACGCTCAACCAATCTACCTCCACTAAACAACAGAATTTAACTTTATAGTATCAACTAACGTAAAAGATGCCAGATTATTTTCATTGCACAACAGAACTTAGTGTATTAGGGTGGCATACAAACAACACTGACCAATGTATGGTACATTAAATCATTTGTAAAGGCATAAAAGGACAGGTCCCTGCCTCAAGGAGTTTCCAGTCTAAAAGTAAACATCTCTGGAAACATAGATGAGTACTCACAAGCCATGAACACATTTCCCCCCAGTTGTACCCCAGCAAGATCAGCCATTAGCAGGCTAGAACCTGTTTAAAGTGAGGCACTTGGAAGGTGGTTGGGAAATTCATGAGTGTGAACTTCTTGACCATCCTCTATACATTCTACAGATGAAGGTTGAGTTTCAAAGCTGTGTGATTTTCCTTATGTGCAATTCTTTGGTTGGCAATCAATAAACTTAGTGAGAAGGCTGACGTTTAAAGACCCACTTTAGCCACTCTGAAACAGAAAGTTCCAAGCATGAGAAGCAGAATGTGTCAGACTGACTCAGTTATTTGACTGGAATCAAAAAAAGTTATTTCTGTGGTTACCTTCTTTTGTCAAAATCCTCTGAAAAGCCATATACAGCCATGAATCTAAATTAAAAAGCTGAAGACTTACAGAGTTCAGTGATGCTCATTTTAAAAAACTTAAGTTGCAAACTAGCTTGTGCCCATCCCAATTTTGTAAAGTTTCCATGATTGAAATTATATAGAATCAAAGGCAACTGTGAAGCTAAAGCTGTACTATAGTGACTAAGTAGCAGGAATCATTTAACAGTATCACTTACGATGTCAACAAAATATAAATGAAACAAATTACTGTACCAGCTCCAGGAGCTGACAATTAATGTCTTAAAGTAGGAAGTGTGCATGCATGCAGTCCTTTGATTTATATATAATCAGAATCTGTGTTGATATTTTTAACAAAATAAAAATTAAGAGCATACCTAATTCCTGTAAGCCTTTAGTTTTTCAGCAATTCAGGCAGTAGTTACAAAACACCTGACACCACAATTATAAAAAAAAAGGACATATTTTGAGGTCACAGCTAAATGGTTAAGCCAAAAAAATAAATAAATAAAAATCCCCCCCAAAAAACAAAAGGGAGGGGTAGGAGGGAAGGATACAGATAAACTGAGACACAGAAATACTTAAAGGTTCAAATAAGATTAATTAAATGTAATGTAATGAAGTTGCCTAGACTTTTCCCCAAAATAAAAATACATGGCTTGAGTTACAGTATTGAAAGAAAAACTAGAAGTGAATATACTCATATTAAATTGAGTGCAGACAATAAAAATGCTTTAATGAGCTGAAAGAATACAATTTTTCTTATGTTCGGCTCAGCTGCACAGGACGGTGGATCCACAAAAAGTCTATTGTCAATGTCACTTAAAAAAAAATGGGTTCATTGCTTGGTCTAAACTAAACAGTATGGATAGGGCCACAACTCAGATGCAATGGTTAATAATAAGATGATTAAGGAATACAAATTTTTCAAAAAACAAGCAAACAAAACCAACCTACTAAACAGTTTGAGAAACATATTACTCATGCCAGCAGCAGAACCTTCCTATCAGAAGTAATTCTCTCATACTAAGAATCTGCATTAAATTTCAATCTAAAATAAGTGTTTTTGGTGGTCTAGGAAATATTTTAAAGATAAATCTATATTAAGTTTTTTGTCTTACTTTGTCCAGTCATCAGATTTCTAATGCTGGATCTTTCGTAAAAATGTATTTGCTTTCTTACTTTGTCTGTAGCCACATCCTAAGCCACGGAAACATAAAACAGTTCTAGACTGCCAGGCTGTCATACTCCCAGAGATGAAATTCAGCACTGATAATGTTTTATTTTAACTTTTCATTGTATGTTGGACTACCCTATTGAAAATAGTGGATTTAGCCCTGCATATTTAAAGAATGTTCTAAAAATGGACCACAGTACATGCCCCATTCCAAGAACGCTAAGCAAACAATGTTCCAACTTAATCTTTGCCCAGCTCAAACTAGTAATTAGTCTACAGTGCCCAAAAAATCCATTACCTCAAATGTTAGCTTAAACATGAAATATTTCTTTTTAGTTCTTTCAAATACAGTCTGCAGGTACACTATTGAGTCGTAAATTTTAAATAGCTCAAATGCAGAATCCACTCTTGTGGTCTTTTTATTTTTTTCCACCTTTAGATAATAATTGGTAGCAAAATATTATGGTACATTGATCTTCACCAGCTAGGGATACAAAAATGGAAAAACTAACTTTACATTAAAAGATTTCAATTCGTTTTAACCAATGTATAATATAGGTATATTAAGTTTCCATTCCTATGCTTCATATAGATAAGACTTCACCCACCTAAACAGTTTTAATTAAGACAACTTTACTGTATAAAATGAAAGATAACAGGAAAGTATTGAGTTCCACATGTGCTTTAGTTTAAACATATTACAATATACAAAATAGAAAGGAAAAAAGATTTTTTTTTAAATGAATAACCAAACTTTCCTAAAAAGGCACTTTTTATGCACTGAAACCTGCTCTAATTGACAATATGTACAAGATGACAATTTAAGTGATAAAGAAACTTAAGGAGAACATTTTATTCAATCAGTTCTCACAGAGGCACGAAATGCAGGCTTTTTTTTTTTTTCCGCCTAAAACTGAAATAAAATCTCAGTATTTTTGGTTGGCACATGGTGCTTTCCCCCACAATTTGTAATGAGCTGTCTACAAGGTGTCAAAAGAAATTGAACTAAACCACACAATTTAGCCACTTCCACAGTATCATTTAATAAAGAGAACATATCTGCTCTTATATCCTAGCACTGTGCCGCCTTAAACCATGATAGCTTACGCCAATTACTATTATTGTTAGCTTCCTACTACCTCCATTCCAGATGCCATTAACTGCCCTTTTTCCATTTTCAAATCATGCTAATCCCCGAAGTATGGAATGCACTCCCCAAAGTAATCTGTCAATCCTGCACACTTTTTCTTCAAAATCTCCTTAAATAACAACCATGCCATGCTGCCTGTAAGCAATTACTAACTGTTAATGCTCAAGCAGTAGGGACCACAATCATCTAATATATACCCTTGAAACAGCTTCTAAAGTTATGTCTACACCATGCAGTACAAACCTAGAATGGATGTAATGTAGCTGCCTTACAGCAGTGGCGGGTGCACACCAGTAGATATGTCATGAAAGCATGTTTAAAATGGTAGTGGGTACACGTTAATAAGGCAGTTACAACGCATGCATTTCAGGTATTCCACCCACAGATAGATATGCCATGTTGCATGGTAGCCAGTCCCACGCTCAGGTCTTTGACAATGCAGACATGACCTGAATAGTTTTGTGGGCAGTTAGTTGTTTGAATTAGTCTATGTAACCAAAATACTCTCATTAACTTCCTCTTTCATCTGTTAAAATGTATTTTCTTAACTATTAAGTAATTTGGTGCTGGGACTGTCTTTTCCAAAGGTGAATCTTGCCTAGTTCAAAGGGATCAATCAAGTCTGACCAGGATATGGTTTCTAAAAAAAGTTTTATTAGAAATAAACATTCTGCAGTACTCACAAATTTCACCAAACTATGCTAGTGCAGATAAATGAAAGTAAAAGTGACTACCATATTTTCAATATCAAATGCTTGTAAAACAACCCAAGAATAAAACCCCTTAACTTCTACTTCAAATACATGTGTTATTGTTAAAGCACAGCAGTGGACAAATTTTGACCTGGTTAAGGTTTTAAAAATAACACAAGAAAATACAATAACTTTGATGTTTAAGAACAAGAGGTAGTTTTGTGGACACAGACAATGTGAAATACAAGGGGGTAGGTGAAGGGGGAAAAGCATAAAGAGGCAATTAGAAGCCAGCCTTTGGAAGGGTGCTGTAATGAAAATGAGAGAACAAAAATGGAGGAAGGTATGGGGTTATGCAGTGATATAATGGACAAAGTGAGAGAGAAATTTCAATTTTCACTAGCTACAACCCAAGATGCTGATGGAACACCAAGGAAAAGTACCAAGTACAAACGATAAATTGGGAATCACCTGTACCAATGTGACGTGTTACGGTGGATACAGATAAAACTGCACAGACAGAGCACAGGAGTGAGAGGGACAAAGACAACAAACATGTAAGGTAAAGTTACAGTTCCTAGAGAGATCCTTGATCAGCTCAACTAGTAACCATGCAATATGAATGGAAAACCCTCTTTCATTTGGGGTTCTAGTAACAAGTGCAACATTTCTAAGTGTGACCACATTATGAAAAAAATCCCACACTTTACAAACAAAATAAAGCTCATAGTTCAAGAACACACTTTAATGTTATTGACTATCTTCCTACTATAATACATGCTATTTTTCCTATTATCAGGCATTCACACAAAACAATTCCTGCATGTGAAAATAGCATGCATTTACTACATACATCATACATGTTGCGTTCTGTCTACTATAGCACAGCCCAACTGGCTTAGCTCCCAAGGAAATGAATACACATTAAAAAAAATTAAGCAAGGAAAAAGAGAGGGCATCAAAGAGAATGAATGATACTTACAAAACATGATTAGAAAATACAGAACAGAAAGTGATCATAAAATATAATCCTAAAAGTCAATAAGTCATTTAGACATTGGCTTTTCCAGGGAGGATGGAGGAGAACTGTTAAGGAAAATGTGTGTGGGCAAAGAAAAGCCAAAACAAGTGTGGTATTTAAAGATCATAAGCAAAGTGTTGACAGAGGAAGAAGAGAGAAACTAGAAAAATACTAGGAAGAATATTCTGTACTGTAGTCAAAATGAAAAAGAAACCACTGAAGATTTCTGGAACTGGAGGGATGTATTCTGTTCAGTTATGAGTGGGGAAACTTGAAACAGGCATGATCATCTCTCTCTACTGTTTATCTATCCAAAAGACCCTCTTCATCTGATATTAGTACACCAACCCTACTCAAGTGCCTACACATACTTGCACAGCTATAGTACAAACATTTTCACTGAAAGATAGCTATATGGAAAAAATTATATCATGTTACCATTTGATTAGTCATGAACTGTTTACTTTGGTCAGCAGATAAAAGCATTTTTATAGTGATGTATCATTGTACAATATTAAAATGACTGGAAAATATTCCTTTGGTATCCTATTTCTAATTATGCTGCTGTGATAAAATGGATTGCAAAGCATTGTGAAGTTACATTCTCTACATATGATTGGCTGAACAGTTATTTACCTCTACAAACTGTAGGGTCACAGACTTTGACATAGACACAAAAAAGGAACTTACCTTTATTTCCCTGTCCTTTAGGTCTCTGTATATAGCCATATTAAAAAAAAAAAGGAAAAACAAACAAGTTAACAACAATGATAAACCACAAACGTTAAACTTCAGGGTAGATTACTTAAAGTTTGTGGTTAATAGTTTAAAGGAAAATTCAAATTACAGCCCAAACTTAAGTATTACAAAAAATAAGGTTGTATGAGGCCTAAGAGATTTTCTTATACATCTCAAATTTCACTGTAATTTTTTTTTTTTTTTTACATAAGCTATTCTGCACTGTTGAAAACCTAAAATCTGCAGCAATAGGAACTGGGAAGGTAAACTGACTTTGAGCCTGCTTATCCAAGATTAGAGAAATACAGGCAAGCAATGAAGAAAGAACAAAGCTCTAAAGGAAATTTTAAGAACATTCTCCTTTCTAATAGCCTAATAACCTGGTATTACTAGCATAAAAAACTGTTTATTATGTGCGATCTTTTATGGTAACAGATAGGGAAGGGCCCATTACTAAAGGAACTTGTCAAAAATTTACAAGTGATGTACACTTTTTGTGCTTTTCAGATACCCAAAGTGAGCAGGCAAAATGGGATTGAGCATGAACCTGAGATGAAGGCCACATTGTTGTCTTTTTCTAGTTCCCAGGTCTGTCAATTGCATGGTTTCCCCGGTGCCATTCCTCTGAGGCTTCCACAGGAGGAACAGGGATAATACTTCACGGAGGTGTTCAAGGATTAGTAACTACAAACCACTTTTAATCTGTCAAGTGATATTACAACAGTGCAAATCACAATCTGAATGTCTTCCATAACAGAGCAGGGGGGTGGGGGATGGAGAAAAGATACAAATAGCTACTAGGCCATGAGCTGCTAATGCATCTCTCCACCTGCAAGCATCGCTGAGCTTGAGTGGGCCCCTTGACTTCGTCACTCTAACCATTTGCTCTCCAATTAGTCACTTCTTCCCCTAACCCAGACAGAATGGAGACTAATCCCTCAAACCAGAAAAAAAAAGAAAAACACCTACAAGCACAGACCAGCTAGGATGCACAGGAGAGATGAAGAGACTAAGAGACAGGTATGAGGAACAGTGGGCACAGTGGGAGGGATGTCTTCCACACTGGCACCCAGGGAACTGGGGAGCAGGGAAAAGGCAGAAGGAAAAAAGAAAGGGGAAGCTCGGAGGCCAGAAAGTTTCCAGGAATGGCAGAGGCCTACGGAAAAAGCAAAGGCCCAGGCAGCATGGGACGAGGGGAAGCAATGGGACGGAAGAGAAGAGTGTGAGGCCCCCAGGCAGGGAGAGGAGGGAGCAGTCGCCAGAAGGACGAGGCACAGCAGAGT